CAACCTTTTTGTCGGCAGCTGAGCATATTAATACTCAATGATTTAGTTAATGGGAGGCCATAGTGCTTAGAACTTATGTGACAGGTGCTGGACTGGCCTCAATATCTTTGATTCCTGAGGCCTGGCCTGCTGGCCTCATCCTCTCACCTCCCTGCTGTCTGTCTTGCAGCCCCCTCCAACTGCCTCCAACCTAGTTATTTGCTCTTTGTTTCTCTTATTTCTCAATTAAAATTTCCCTGTTATCTTTATCAAACTTAACAGCATTCTAGTTAGTCATCTTGTTATAAACAAATTAGTATGACAAATTTGCTGTTTTTGTACTGAAGGGTCTTTTATTGAGACTGAATGGAAAAAAAATGGTATTTTTTGAAAACATTTAAGTTAATAACAGGGAGCTGTGATAGTGTAGTGGGTAAGGCATTTGCCTGCTAACCATAAGGGTCAAACCCACCAGCTGTTCTGTGGATGTGGAAGAAAGATGAGGTAGTTTGCTTCCATAAAGATCTGCAGCCCTGGAAACCCAGTGGGAGTCACTATGGGTCAGAATCGACTTGATCCAATGAGTTTGGGTTTTTGGTTTAAGTTAATAACAATAAAGCAATAAACACAGATTAAGATGTTGCCTTTAAGGGGTAATTTTAAAATATTATTTTAGGAATATAATTACAACAAATAAATTAGAAAAACAAATTTTCTTTTGTTTTGTCAAAAATGGCAGAATTTTCCTATTCCAGATAATCTCCCTCATTCCTTTCCCTCCTGTTAGACTTGTAGACAATCTGGCTAAGAGTCCATTTTAGTCCCTCACTGTCCCTCATTTTTTAATCTGCCTTGTCACCAACTTTTCTCGTTTCTACTGCTCTAAAGAAATATTTCTGTAATGGTATCTCAAAGTGTCTTATTAAAATTCTTACATTTATGAAATGAGGACTTTTCTGAAAGCTGTTAGGAACTGGTCAAGCTTAGGGCCCCACGATCTGGAATATCTTCTCCTTCCTTTGCCCCCACTCTACCTAACCCCTACTCATCTTTTAAAACTTAATATTTAAACTTAATATTAAGTTTTCTTACTCCGCAGACTAGATGTTGAGGATGTAGCACCACAGTGCTCAGCTTTTTCCTGCCTCTCACATTTCCCTGGTGGTGTAGGGCCTAAGACATTTGATTGCTAACTAGAAGGCTGGTCGTTCAAACCCACCAGCCACTCCTTGAAAGGAAGATTGGACAATCTACTTCCATAGAGATACTGCCCAGGAAGCCCAAGGCGGGGTCACTATGAGTCAAATCGACTCAATGGCAGTGAGTTTGTTACTTTTCCCCCCACATCTTATAGGTGCCTCACTTTTCCCAGATATCCACAGAAGAAAGGCCTGGTGATCTAATTCCAAAAAACTAGCTACTGTAAAAACCCTATGGAGCACATTTCTATTCTGCACATGGGGTGCCCATGAATCAGAATCAACACAACTAGTTAATTATCATCTTGAATGTCCAATTCAAAACTCACACTGAATTATCTCCCTGTGTGCATTACCACACTGAGCCACATGGTGGCAGTTGTCCTATTTCTAAGTACAACTACATGCTGTGTCTGTAGTGGAGCGTGTTGGACTGTGCTCAGATTTGGTTCACAGCTGGCTGATAATTTAGAAAACTACACAAAGTTGTTTTTTTTTTTTTTTTTTTAGTACACAAAGGTTTAACATTTTAACCGTATACCTTGACTAAGTCTAAATGCAGCACTTAAAATAGTTGAACTATAGTTTGTGACTTTTTGTACCTAGCCATAAATAACAACAACAACAAAAAACCATTATTGTCGATTCCAACTCATAGCTATCCTAAAACAGAGTAGAACTGACCCATATGGTTTCCAAGGCTGTAAGCTTTATGGAAACAGACTGTCACATCTTTCTTCCACAGAGTGGCTGGTGAATTTGAACCACAGATCTTTAGGATAGCAGCTGAGCACTTTAACCACTGCACCACCATGCTTCTCCATCTTGCTCATACTTGATCATTATTCAACAAGGATTTATTGAGTAAAATTTTCTGCCGGGTGCTATGGGAGAAATGAGGACATATGAGTGCCGATCTTGACCCTCCAATCTTCCACCTCTATCTTCGGTTTCTAGGGCTGCTACGTAACAAAATACCACACAATGGTGGCTTTAATCAACAGAAATTCTTTGCCTCACAATTCTGGAGCCTGAGAGTATAGATCAGGGTGTTGGTTGTGTTGCTTTCTTCTGATTCTTAAGACAGAACCTGTTCGTGCCTCTTTGACCTTCTGGCGGTGCTTGGCGCTCTTTGGCGGCCACTGCTGTATCACGTGGCATCCTTCCTCTATCCCGCTTCTCTGTGTCTCTTCTTTTTTAGACAGCACTCAGTGGGATTAGAACCCATCCTGCTCTGGTGTGACTTTATATTACCTCAACAGGTAATGTAATCAAACCCTCTACTTCCAAACAAAGTCACGTTCATAGGTACCAGGGATGGGATTTCAACATATCTTTTTTGGGGACAGAATTCAATCCATAACAACATCAAAACTTGGCCAGTATTATCTCTGGCCCAGATCACTGATACAACCCCTACAGGACACTGCAGTAGCCTCCTGGATGGTCTTCCTATATCCATTCTCCACCTGGCAGCAGAGAGATCTCTGACCCACAGGTCAGATTCTCATCCCCTGCTTGAAATCCCTTGTGATTACTCAGACATTTTAGTATATTTTACAAGGTCCTGCTTATTTGATCAATACATACTTTTGCAGTAAGAGCTCTTTCCATTACCCTGGTATCCCCTTCTCTATGCCCCCTCCCCCCATTCTCAGTCCTCCAACTTTTTCTTCTTTCACAAATACAGGACTTATTTCTGAGGCTTTGAATAGGTCATTTCTGGAATAACATGCCTGGATTATTCTTCCTCTCTTCTTTACTTGTTTATCTCAAATTCATCCTTTAGGCCGCAGTTTAGACTAGAAAGCCTTTCCTGTGGAGTACTTCCTTTTTTTTTCTTAAGGTAATCCTTAAATGTGATCAAACAGGGAGCCTCCTACCCCTGTGTAAGCTCTTCCACTCCTTTTTGAAATTTCTCACAAGGACAGTGTGAGTCTGTCTTTACTTTCCAATGTCCTACATCTGGCATTGTGCCTGGCTTAGCAAATATTTTTTTATTAAATGAATTAGTCATCTAACAATGATAAGCAACATAAAATGGAATGTAATTTAGGTGCTAAATTGTGTAGTATAGACTAGAAAGATGTGTATCAGGGTTGTTACGCTTCCACCATATTTATTCGATCTGTATCTGAGTGAGAATCTGAAAAGCTGAAATTCTCCATGAAGAAGAATGCAGCATCAAGATTGGAGGAAGACTCATTAACAACCTGGTATATGCAGATGACATAGCCTTGCTTGCTGAAAGTGAGGATGACTTGAAGCACTTACTGTTGAAGATTAAAGACTACAGTCTTCAGTATGGATTATACCTCAACAGAAAACAAAAATCCTCACAACTGGACAAAAAAGCAACATCATGATACATGGAGAAAATGCTCAGATTGTCAAGGGTTTCATTTTACTTGTTTCCACAACCAACACTCATGCAGTCACCACAAACAATACATTGCATTGGGCAATGTGCTGCAAAAGACCTCTATAAAGTGTTCAAAAGCAAAGGTGTCACTTTGAGGACTAAGGTGTGCCTGACCCAAGCTGTGGTGTTTTCAGTCACCTCATATGCAAGCAAAAGCTGCACAGTGCCTTAGGAAGATCAAAGAATTGATTCCTTTAAATTAAGATATTGGTGAAGAATATTAAATATGCCATGAACTACCAGAAGAACAAACAAATCTATCTTGGAAGAAATACAGACAGAATATTCCTTAGAAGCAAGGATGGTGAGACTTCATCTCACGGACTTTAGGCATATCAGGAGGGACCAGTCCCTGGAGAAGGACACAGATTTGGTAAAGTCGAGGGTCAGCGAAAAAGAGAAAGCCCTTCAGCAAGACGGATTAACACAGTGGCTGCAACGATGGGCTCAAATAGCAACCATTATGAGGATGGCCCAGGAGCGGGCGTGTTGTATACAGTAGCGTTGCCAGGAGTCAGCTGACTCAGTGGCACCTAACAGCAACCACAACAGCATGGACTCAAAATGCAGTAGGAAACCAGAGAAATGTAAATTTTGCAGAAGACTTAGAGCCAGAGCCAGATCTTACAAAGTGAATAGAATTTGGAAAATGGGCGAGGGAAAAATAATACGATATGGCAGGAGGCTTGGAAACAGCCATGACTGATGCTTGAAACCGTGAATATGTTGGGTAGCTATTGGGGGAATGTGGGAAGTAAGGTTGGCACTAACCTGACTTTGAATGTCAAAGGTGGTTACACATCTTTCAGTAACCAAACCAAACCAAACTCACTGCTGTAGAGTTATATCCGACTCATAGTGACCCCTCCTTGGCTTTTCAAGGCAGTATCACTATGGAAGTAGATTGCCCAGCCTTCCGAGAGCACCCCTTTTAATCCAGTGTTTTTGTTTTTTTTGCCAGCAGAAGCAAGTGTGTTGTGTTTTTTGATTAAGTCATGATCTTTGGCTCACAGACAGCTTCTGGTGCCTTGGTACAGCTTTTGGTGATGCCTTTCCTGTGCATGAAATCAAACTTTACATGTTCTCTGCGTCTCCCTTGAGGAAGGCTTTACTTGCTTCTAAATTATAACCTATAACCAAAGACCCTAGCTTCCCTTCACACTCTAACTCTAGTTAGTTCTCTTTAAATTTGAGAAATTAATTTTTAAAAAGTTGAATGTGTGCTCCAGATTTAAATAACATTTGCCAGTGAAGATGATAATACAATTTTAGGCAAAGTTTAGACATGCAAATAGTTTGCTTATGGGATAAAGAAGGTCTTACTTATATTAATTTGGAAAGTTAAGAGATTTTAATTATTAAGATTTTTTTTCCTTCTCTTTCCATTTTTTGCCCCAAAGAGGCTGATCCAGGTGGACACTCATTCTGGAAACTCATCACTTTACCCAAGGTCGCCCTTATAGCCTTTGTCATCAATTCACTCAGTGCGGGTTTTGGCTTCCTTGACCCTACTCTGTCTCTCTTTGTTTTGGAAAAGGTAAGTAGACTAAAGGGCTCCGTGATGTAGCAGGTGGGCATGATTGCATGCTCTCAGGCCCTGATTTGTGGAAGGACCTCTGAGACTGAGGAGAAGGCAGAATGGGAATTATATACCGAGATAGCCCGTGCCTTTGCTCAGAGGCGTCCCTATGAACTAGGGATCTAATTCAGTACAAACGCGAGGGACTTTCTTCTAAGTAGCCAAAACTTTGGCCTCCTTCTTGCTGGTGTGATTGTAGGTCTGGCTCAGCCACCATTTATGCTGCTCCCAATGAGACTTTTCCTCTATTTGTTTGAATTTCAGTGAAGTGTTTGAAGTACTCTATGCCTCATCTAATGGCAGATGTCCTTCATTAATAGATCCATTTACTTTTTAAATACTAGGTATAATCTGATGATTAGTGCTGAAAATAAATATTGGTTTCTAGAAGATTGATGCCATGGAAATTAGTTCTTAGGTATTTTTGAAAAGGATTAGATATAATAAAGTTCATGGCTAAGTCTAGTAGTTAACTATACTGGAAAATTAATAGGTATTTAAGGAATCAAAAATGTACTAACATCAGCCGACACTGACTTTATTTGAGGCACTGTAATTAAAATAGTTACCTACATTTAAAATTCAACCAAATTTCTGATATGGTGGCATCAAATAGTTTCTGAACATTGACTTACCATCTTATATAAGGGCAATTTTTCTTATCATTTTACACTACCCTTTAAAGTCACTAAAGACTTGAAATTAATGTTAGGAATTGTAATGTTAGTGCCTAGCACAAGGTTTAGATAATAATATAATGTTATGCTTAACCTGTGAGCGTCCAGAAGATAGCACATAAGAAAAATGGTGATCCATTTCATTCACGTCATCAACCAGGTATCTCATGTTTGGGCTGTTAAGAAATTAAGTATAAACAATGGAAAAAAGTCTGTTACCAATCTTCAGCAAACACATGTTGATCATGTACGACTTATAAGAAATCTTTAGAAATTTAGATTCCTCACAGTTTTTGAACCCAATTGTTGTTGCCCTTATTCACTAGATCTTATCAGTTACCTTGATCTCATCAGTTGTTTTAATTGGCCGTTTGCTTTACAATCATTGGTTGCCCAGTCTTTTAGATTAGGACTCTTCCCTCCTATCTCCTTCCAGTTGTGAAATCAGAAGAAGACATTTCTGAGATATATATAAATGTTGTTGTTGTTATGTGCCGTCAAGTCGGACCTGACTCATAGTGACCTCTCCTTGGGTTTCCGAGGCAGTATCACTATGGAAGTAGATTGCTCCATCTTCCTTCCGAGGAGTGGCTGGTGGGTTTGAACTGCCAGCCTTCTGGTTAGCAGTCAAGTGCCTTAGCCACTATGCTACCAGAGCTCCTTTTGATTTCTTAGCATCAGTTAATATTTCTCATAAAAACTCTGAAATCACATGTTGTGGTTGTTAGGTGCTGTCAAGTCATTTTCAACTCACAACCCCTGTGTGTGCATTAGAATGAGACCACTCCTCAGCCGTGTGCCATCCTCACAATTCTCGCCATACTTGAGCCCATCACTGCAGCCACTGTGTCAGTCCATCTTGTTGAGGGTGTTCCCCTTTTTCACTGACCCTCTACTTTACCCAATATGATATCCCTCTCCAGGGACTGATCTCTTATGGCAACATGGCCAAAGCCAATGAAGTCTGGCCATTCTTGCTTTTAAGGAGCATTCTGGCTGTATTTCCACCAGGACAGAGTTGTTTGTTCCTCTAGCAGTCCATGCTTATTCTGGTTCTCTAGTGCTGCTCTAACAGAAAATACCACAAGGGTTGGCTTTGATAAACAGGGGTTTATTCTCTTATAGTTTAGGAGGCTAGAAGTCCAAGTTCAAAGTGCCAGCTCTAGGGGCTGGGTGAAGGCCCCTCAACCTTGGGCTTCAGCTCTGCCTCTTGCTCCTGACCCAGTGGAGCTGTAGGCGTCTCTTAACTCAGGCAGCTGCTAGCTGCTGAGGCTGACAAATCCAAGGTCGACAAGTAAAATGGCACAGTCTGAAGATTAGCAAACAACACAGCAGGCCACTAGTTCAAGTCCAAAAAGAGTCCCAAGATTGGCAGACAACATGGCATGCCACTGAAATGAAGACTCGGCCAAATGCAGGATCCGGATGTGTCAAAAAGCTCTTCAGAGACCATTCTCAAAGCTGCTTCTTATCTACTGGAAGCAGACCACAGCCCTAAGGCAGCTACTCAGCTGCTCATAGCAGGATCCACCATGGGGTTGATTACCAGTCTCATTGTGGGGAATCACTGCATCCAGCTGCCCAGCCACTCAAAACCAGGCCCAACTAAGTTGACGTATACTTTCACTACCACAGTGGTACATTCAGTATTCTTTGACAACACCACAATTCAAATGCATCAGTTTTTCTGTGGTCTTCCTTATTCATTGTTCAGTTTTCACATGCATATGAGGTGATTAAAAATACCAGGGTTTGGGTCAAGTGCACAAAGAGTGACAGCTTTGTTCTTAAACACTTTAAAGAGGTCCTTTGGAGCAGATTTGCCCAATGCAATACGTCGTCTGATTTCTTGACTGCTACTTTCGTAGCTGTTGATTGTGGATCCAAGTAAAATGAAATCCTTGACAACTTCCATCTTTTCTCCATTTATCCTGATGTTGCTTATTAGTCTAGTTGTGAGGATTTTTATGTTGAGATGTAATCCATACTTGAGGCTGTAGTCTTTAATCTTCAAATTATATACTCACTCATAAATAAATCTTACAGGTAGAATTTGGAGTCCTGGGTAACACAAATGGTTAAGGGCTTGAAAATTAGCAAAAAGGTTGGTGGTTCAAACACAAAAATATCTATGAACCCAGAGGTGCCTGAGAAGGAAGGACTTCCAGTCTGCTTCCAAAAAAATCACAGCTTTGAAAACCTTGTGGAGTACAGTTCTACTCTGTACACACGGGGTTGCCATGAGTTGGGCAACTCACAACAACAACGTGGGTGTAATAGAGGAAGTTAAGGAAGATGCAAATGAATCAGATACAGAAAGAGATACTGATATGCTGATAATGGTAACAGTATCAAAATTATGTGGTGGTTTTGCTTTTTTGTGTGTGTGATTTGGGTGAAAGTTTACAAAGCAAACAATTTTGTTTCAACAATTCATACATATTTTGTTTCATGTCACTGATTGCAATGCCCTCAATATAACATCACTCACCCTACTTCTTCCCTGTGTTTCTTTTCTCCTCTTCTCCCTCTTTCCCAACCTTTCCTAACTTCTGAACTCTCGTTGAGTAAATACTGTCCCCTTGATCATGAATTGTTGATTGTTGTAATGAATGCCTATTTCCCTAGGGTTATTATTTGCCTTGTTGTTGTTGTTATGTGCTGTGGAGTCAGCCCTGACTCATAGTGAACCCTCCTTGGTTTTCTGAGGCGGTGTCACTATGGAAGTAGATTGCCCAATCTTCCTTCTGAGGAGTGGCTAGTGGGTTTGAACTGCCAGCCTTCTGGTTAGCAGTCAAGTGCCTTAGGCACTATGCTACCAGAGCTCCTATTCACCTTGTACACCTCTCTACTGCTTGCCTGAAATGGAGCTTATGGGGATGAGTTCAGTTCCAAGTCCAAAGGGTGACTAAGGGCCATTGTCTCAGGGGTTCTACCAATCTCTGCCCAACCAGTAAACTAGTCTTTTTTATGATTTTGTGTTTTGTTCCACATTTTTACTTCCAGTTTATCCAGGACCTTCCAAAGTGACCCCTTTCAGAGTTGCTGGTAGTGGTAGCTGAGCATCATCCCGCTCTTCTGATCTGAGGATCATGGAGACTGAGGTTCACATGGTTCTCTGGACCAGTTCTTTCCACGTGTCTTTGATTCTCCTCAATCTTCTTTACCCCAGATAGAGAGAGACCAATAATGGCACTTTAGGTGGCCTCTCACAAGCTTGTAAGACCCTAGTCTCTACTCACCAAAGTAGAACCCAGAACATCTTTGTGGACTTTGTTGTACCAATTGACCTTTATGTCCCTCAAGACTGTGGTTCTGAGCCACGAGGGCCAGCAACTCATTCCTTCAAGGTTTTTTGTTATGGCCAAGGAGTTTTCACAATTGGCACCTGTAGACTCTGCTGTATTTGTGGGCATGTTTGCAGCATACATCAGTATATATGGAGAAATAACCTTTTTCAAATCTATGTATATTCATAGTACAGTCCCATTCTCCTTCCTACACCTATTCACCCTGCATGTCTGTCTATCTTCTCAGAGATTATTTTTATTTTTGTTATTTACCTTTGTTGTCTTTAACTCCTGTACTCCTCCATACATCTTCCTTTACCTTGATCATCTTGTACTGACCGCCCCTTATATTACCTTCTTCTTCACCCGCATTAATAGTGCTTAAGGCATTTGACTGCAGAAGGTTGGTGGTTCAAATCCACCAGCCACTCCGTGGAAAGAAGACTGGACAATCTATTTCTGTAAAGACTTAGCACTTCAGAAACCCAAAGGGGGTCACTATGAGTTGGAATTGATTCAATGGCAGTGAGTTTGTTTTTTTGGTGTTTGGATCCTCTAATTAGTGGTTGTTTTGAGTTAGTGGTTTACCCTTCCCTTTCCTCCCACCCCTGGTAACCAGCAAAGAATATTTCTTTCTCTGTGAAAACTTTTTCTTAACTTTTTATAACAGTGGTCTCAGACAGTATCTGTCCTTCTGTGATTGACTAATTTCACTCAGCATAATGCCCTTTAGGTTCATCCATGTTAAAAGATATTCCACAGATTCAGTGTTATTCTTTAACATTTGTATGGTATTCCATTGCGTGTATGTACTATCGTTTGTTTATCCATTCATCCATGAATGGGCATTTAGGTTGTTTCCATCTTGCCAATGTGAAAAGTGCTGCAATGATTATTGCAATGGGTATGCATATATCCATTCATGTCATGGCTTTCACCTCTGCAGGATATATACCTAGGATTGCTGGATCATAGAGTATCTCTAACTTTTTAAGGACGTGTCATACTGATTTCCAATATGTGGTAGTTTAATAGCCTTTAGAATGTATGCCATCTAATTCTTCAATTCAATATTATATCCACTGAGATACATAGATAGATTTTGAAAAATCAGTGTTTTACACCAGTGACACTCAAAGTGCTGCCTGAGAGCTGTGAGCATCACTGTGGATGGAGCTTGTTAGAAATGCAAATTCTTTTGGCCCATCCCAGACCTTCTGAATCCAAAACTCTGGGGCTAAAGTCTAAGAACCTCTGTTAACAAGCTCTCCAGGTGGTTTGTATGCTCACTAAAGGTTGAAAAAAGAGCTCTGGTGGTACAATGGTTAGGCTGTTGGCTGCTAACCAGAAAGGTGAGTGGTTGGAACACAACTTCAGTGCTTCCACAGGAAAAAAGACCTGATGGTGTACTCTGGGAAAGATGGGAAACCCTGTGGGGCAGCTCTGCCCTGTAGGGTTGTTAGGAGTCAAAGTCTACTTGAGGGGACACAACAACAAAGGTTGAGAAGCACTGGTTTACACATAAACGATTATGACTTAGAGTCACAAAATTACACGTTTAATGTAAATGTACAAAGCAAAGAATCTAGATCTTCTGACCTCTGGTTAGGTTTTTTTTGTTGTTGTTCTTGTTTAATTTTTCACATAAACACCATTTATAAAAGCAAGACAAAAGAGGAAGAATGGTGATTGTTATTAATAGATTCATGGTAAATCACAAGTACTGGAGAAATGGTAGCAAGAAAAATAGATTTCTATGGTGATGGAGAATTTTGGCAATGGATACTGGCAGTCTGCACAATGTGATTGATGTGATTGGTCTCACTGAATTATATGTGTGAAAAAATGTGGAAATGACCAATTGTGTTATCTATACTCTTCTAACAAAAATAGAATGTGAAAAAAATAAAGGTGAATATTTATTTTCAAAATGACTTAACCACATAATTTAATTCAGAATTTCTTTTACAGTTTCATTTGCCAGCTGGATATGTGGGACTAGTATTCCTGGGTTTGGCACTCTCCTATTCTATTTCTTCACCACTGCTTGGTCTACTAAGTGATAAAATGCCAGTATGTATATTTCATTTATATTTAAGAATGGTTTTTATATGTTTAGACCAGTGGTTTTCAACTGTACCTCCAAAACTCTATGGGCCCATTAATTAGAAAGGACATATTATTGGAGTGACTGGGGGTTCTGGGGATTCCTCATCCTGAGGAAATTCACTCTTATAACTGCTTCATTTGGGGAAAGAGGAGTCTTATGCTAAAATGTGCCAAAAAAACTATTGGATTAGACTTTCTAAAGGAAAAAGTACCCTTGATGTAGATTTTAAGGAGAAAAAATGGCATTGATCTTAAAATTAGGACAGAGACTGTTCTGGTTACCTAGTACCGCTCTGACAAGAATATACCACAAACGGGATTCTTGAACAAACAGGAGTTTGTTCTCTTACAGTTTGGAGGCTTTAAGTCCGAGTTCAAAGTGCCAGGCTCTGTGAAAGCCCCTCGACCTTGGGCTTCAGCTCTGCCTCTTGCTCCTGGCCCACTGAAGCTGGAGGCATCTCTTCACTCAGGCAGCTACTGGCTGCTGAGGCTGACAAGTCCAAGGTCGACAAAGAAAATGGCACAGTCCTAATGTTATCAAACCACACAGCAGGCTGTTAATTCGAGTCCTTTGAAAGTCCCAAGGTCAGTAGAGCATGGCAGGCTGCTGAATAACGACTCGGCTACATGCAGGGTTCAAGTGTGCCATAAGCTAGAGACCATTCCCAAAGTTATTTCTTATATACAGGAAGCAGACCACATCCCAAAGGCAGCTACTCAGCTGCTCACAGTAGAGTCCACCATGGAGTTGATTACCTGTCTTATCATGGGGAATAGTCATCCAGCTGGTCAACCACTCAACCAGGCCTAGCCAAGTTGAAACACAAACTTAACCAACTCAAAGATGTTATTAGGGAAATGGATCATGGTGAGAGATTTGCTTTTGGAGGTAACATAGGCTTTCTGTGGGAGTCAAAGGATTGGCCGTGTAAATCTGCATTGATTATCCATAAAACCCATTGCCCTTAAGTCGATTCCAACTCATAATGACCGTGCACAACAGAGGAGAACTGCCCCATAAGGTTTTGAGGCTGTAATCTTTGTAAGCGCAGACCGCCCCATCTTTCTCCCAGAGAAGAGCAGCGAGTGGTCCCACCCACTGACCTTTCAGTCGGCAGCCACGTGCTTAATGACTGCACCACCAGGGCTTCTTTGATATCCCATAAAACCAAACAAAACCCACTGCTACCGTGTCACTTCTGACCCCATGAAAGGATAGAGAAGAACTGCACTGTCAGGGTTTCAAGCCTGTAAATCTTTACAGAAGCAGACTGCCTCATCTTTCTTCCATGGAGCAGATACTGAGTTCAAACCATGGATCTTTTGGTTAGCAGCTGAATGCATTAACCCCTGCACCACCAGAGTGCCTTTGATTATTCCATAGCTACCCTATCTCCTGGGAGCTCTGGTAGCATAGTGCCTAAAACACTTGACTGCTAACCAGAAGGCTGGCGGTTCACACCCACCAGCCACTCCTCGGAAGGAAGATAGGGCAATCTACTTCTGTAGTGATACTGCCTCGGAAACCCAAGGAGGGGTCGCTATGAGTCGGGTGCGACTTGACGGCACATAACAACAATACTATATCCTATATCCATAGCTGTCCTGATAGAAAAGCCTTTCTCTTCTCCTTTAACTAAACCATTAGGTCTCGATGTCTAAATCATTAGATCTGCATGACTAGTATACAGAACTAGTACTGCTAGCCCCATCTCAAACTGTTATGGCTTTGCTGCTTATTTTTCATTCGATTTCCATATACATTTAACAACACCTGAATTTCATGGAGACTGCTTAGTAATTCCATGTGGCCAAAAGTAAATGTCTTAACAGTGTTTGGAAATTGGCTTTAAGACATAGTCATCTATAACTGAGCAGTGACTATACCTCCATGATTTTTAGCCTGCATTCAAATAGTTTAAAAGGAATGATTTTACTAATAATGTGAGTTGTCTAGCAGTTGGACCTACTTGGTAGGTTTCTAATGGGAATTTGGTGTTTAAATTTTAAATAGTTCATCATGTGAAAAATCTGCAATAAATACTCCTCTTTTCTAAGGAGTTCTTCTCCTTTGCTCACTTACCTCTTTTTGTATAGTAGTTAGGAGCTCTGGTGGTATAGTCCTTAAAGCATTTGGCTGCTAACCAAGAGGTTGGCGGTTCAGACCCACTGGCTGCTCTGAGGAAGAAAGATGAAGCAGTCTGCTTCTGTAAACATTTACAGCCTCTGAAACGCAGTGGAGGTCACTGTGAGTCAGAATCTACTCATAGATGGCAGTGAGTGTGATCGTTAATACCACACTGCTCTGTCACTACCTTGGAGTTTACCATCCACTTCTTTTCTCTCAAATGTAGTTTATTTTCTTCAAGGGGTTTTGAATAGCACAGCTTGTGTTCTTTAATGATTTTTTATATTCTTTTGCAAAGGACAGTTGTTATTTTTAAAAATTTCTTTGGGCTCTTGTTTCTCTTTACCAGCATCTGAGGAAATGGTTTCTGGTTTTTGGAAATTTCATCACAGCAGGGTGCTACATGCTCTTAGGACCTGTCCCAGTCTTGTACGTCAAAAGGTAATTTCTTTCCTTTCTCTGTATATTTGGACAAATAGCATTAAGAATTATTTTAAAAAAACTTTGGTGTCACGCTGGTATGGCTTAGTATTGTGAGCCATAATGCTAAATATCACCTTCATTTAGGAGTATATTGAACTGTTTGTGAGACTGACAGTATTGTCCCTTATCAGAAGCCAGCAGTGGTACAAGCAAACAGCAATGCATAAAATCTGAATCAAATGAGAAAGATGCTTATTCTGTGTTTCAATTTCATGTTGGTAGTTTTTTTCCAAAAAACAGCATATGTTGCTACCTACCTTTAGTTGATCATTCTTCATACACACACACACACACACACACACATATTTTTTTTTCCCCTATTCTTCCTCCTCAGTCCCTGAGGCAGGAACCAATTTTTTTTTTTTCTTGATGCTATCCTTTTTTTTTTTTCTTGATGCTATCCTTAGCATGCAGTAGGTGTTTGCTCACTGCCATCAAGTTGATTCTGACTCACAGTGACCCCCTTTGGGTTTCTGAGGCGGTAACTCTTCGTGGAAGTAGATTGCCCCATTTTCCTTCCACAGAGTGGCTGGTGGGTTTGAACCTCCAGCTTTCTGATTAGCAGTCAAATATCTTAGGCACTGAGCCACCAGAGCTCCAGGTGTTCACTAAAGCTTGTTTATTATAATTCATTTACTAGAATAAAGTAAGCTCCTTAGACTTTCTCAGATGCCCCTGGGGTAAAGCATGATATCATGGAAAGAAAAGAGATCTCAGGAGTCATCCAGAGTTAGTAGCTATTGGAACAAATTGCTTAATTTCCAAGAGCCTCCATTTTCTTAGCCACAAAAGGAGTTGATAATAATACTTACATCCAGGGTTGCTGCAAGGACCAAATGTATGTAAAGACATGTAGGTAAAATAACCCCTTTACCTTTTCCTTCCATTCAAATTTTAATCTATTTTTCAATGACTTGAATATCAAGTCCCAATCAATGGAAGGAACAGCATTGGTACTGCCATTTTAACCCATTTGAAAGGATTTTGTTTGGTGAAAAGAAGGAAGGATGTGATTTTCCCTAAAAATATAAGGAACTTAAAGATGCTATAACTGGATAAAATGGGATCAGATGGTAATGAGGACTATAAAGAATATAAAAGTCTTCCTGATTACTGAAAACACACACCCTTGAATGTCGTTATCACATATGTCGCATCAGGGCTGCATATCTGTTAACGTATCAAGAAGAGAACCAGTGCCGGTTGCCACCGAGTGAACTCCAACTCAGTGACAACTTCAGATGTTTCAGAGTAAACTATGCTCCTCAGGGTTTTCAGTGGCTGATTTTTTTGAAGTAGATCACCAGGCCTTTCTTCTGAGAAACATCGGGGTGGATGGACCTCTAAAGCTTGGGCTGGAAGCTCAGCTGTTAACCGTTGGCACCACACAGGGGCTCTCTGAGGAAGAGAGGCCAGTTAGGTAATCAGTGAAACTAACTTCTCTAGGATCCTGCTCTATTTAGCGTTAAGCTTTTATGTTTATTAAAATGCTAATCTTTTTATTTTTCTTCTTTCACAACTCTTCTGCAGTCAGCTCTGGCTGCTGGTGCTGGTATTGGTTATAAACGGCATCTCTGCTGGGATGAGTGTAATTCCGACTTTCCCGGAGATTCTCAGTTGTGCATAGTAAGTTATTTCTGTTACCTAAAGAGCTGTCTTGTGAATAACAGTGAGCATCACAGGCTTTTGAATTTCTCAGTTTTGTAGGGAAGACATTCTAGAAGATATTTTTCCTTCTTCACATTAAATCTTTAGGACTTCATACAATGCAGTCATAGGTAAATACAGTAATAGGTAAAGTGAGCTGTGAATAGATGCTTGGCTTGTCTTATGAATTGGTGTATATAGAATCTTTAAAAACCAAAGCAAAATGGAAAGGCTTCAGCATTGTTCCTGTCTCCTGGAGAAGATCCATGAAGACATGTACAGTGACCAGGTGCCTGTCGTTTGCCCGTCAGTGTTTTGTTTAATACGACATCATGATGAAGAACTTAACAAATTCAGCTTGAGGAGGTAGAGGATCTCTAGCGGGACAGTGTCCAGTGAACCTCGTAGGAAGAAGGCACTGCCTCTGTGAATCTCTATACCTGGATTTGGATCTGTCTTACACATGCAATCAAATTGTTTTTAGAATCAAAGCATAAATACAGTATGACAAGTCCTTGACGTTAGCTGAGCTTTTTATCTTAGAACAGCGTTTCTGCTGTTACCTTTGTCCAAACCACCCCTGCTTTATCTTCATTTATTTATCATACAACATTCTTTTCTTTCACACAGGTTTCCCTTTTAATAATGGAAACATTCTCTTTTACAGTGAAAATGGATTTGAAGAGGGATTGAGTACTTTGGGACTCGTGTCAGGTCTCTTTGGTGCAATGTGGTCAGTTGGGTGAGTGGTTTTGAATTTCATTCATTCAAACCTGCAAAACGGAAAGGACTATTCCCATTTTACAGACAAAAAAACTTGAGGAGCTGAGAGATCAGATGAACTGCCCAGAGAGGTCAGTGAGAGCAGAGCCAGAATTCTAAGCCACACCCTCTGACTCCAAAATCTGTCATTAAACAGTAGTTTTAACATCTAATCAAAATGATCTCTTTTGCATTATCTTAAATGATACTTTTAAGTTCTTTCAGCAGGAACATCTCTCAGATTGATTTACTTATTCATCCATTCACTTATTTTTCACCCTCTACCAGAAAGGAGCTCTGATGGTGTATTGGTTGAGGCATTTGGCTGCTAACCAAAAGGTCAGTGGTTTGAACTCACCATCCACTCTGCAGACGAAAGATGAGGCAGTCTGCTTCCATAAAGATTTACAGCCTTGGAAACCCAAGTCAGAATTGACTTGATGGCAGTGCGTTTGGTTTTTTAAAGGAGAGAAGGTTAGCATGCCCCTTGACAAGAATGGAAGAGGCCCTTGGGCCTTACAACATGCATAAGGTTAAGGCATTGCCACCTACTTTATGGTATCTAACCATGGTTTTAAGGGAGCTCTGGTGGCATAGTGCCTAAGATATTTGACTGCTAACCAGAAAGCTGGTGGTTCAAAGCCACCAGTCGCTCCTCAGAAGGAAGGTTGGTAAATCTACTTCTGGAGAGATACTGCCTCGCAAACCCAAGGAGGGGTCGCTGTGAAGCGGAAATGACTTGACGGCAGTGAGTTAGGTTTTTCCTTTTTTATACTAGAGGGTTAACTGTCTGCTGGCAATGTTGTTGTTGGTAGCCACTGAGTCGATTCTGACTCCGGTGACCCTGTGTGTGCACAGGATTGCAGTCCATAGGGTTTTCAAGCCTGTGACCTTTTGGAAGCAGATCACCAGGCCTGACTTCTGAGGCACCTCTGGATGAGTTCAAACTGCCAACTTTTTGCCTAGTATTCGAGCACTTAACTGTTCTCAACACCCAGAGCCTCCATGCTGGCAATGTTGTATATCTTTAATGAATATGTATTGAATTAAGTTATTTTTAACTGTAAATGCTGAATAGAAGAAACTATTTCATATGTTGTTGTTGTTGTTGTTATGTGCCTATTTCATATAGGGAAGAGTAAAGAGAACAATATAAAGATTCATTTGAAGGCATGTCATCTTTCATATAAGGTACCGATTTCTCAGCAGCAATTATAATTTTAGAATTGTTTTAAAATTTTAAGCTTATTAACAGGTAGAATATTTTCCTTTTGCTTAGACACTGGATTTTTTCTGTAGTACTTATAGTTCCAGTTTAATGAAGACTTATGGTTGAAGAATTATATAGCTTTTAAGAAGTAATTCTTTTTTACCAGGGGTGGGAGGGAAGGGGAGGCAGCACTGGGGGGGAAAAAAAAAAAAAGCATTGACCCATGTCACTTTAGTTTTGTGTATTTTACTGTACATATTTCAATAAAGTATATATTTTTTTCTTTAAAGAAGTAATTCTTTTTTGTGCACTCTTCTTTTCTTTGTTAGTGCTTTTTTAGGACCTACACTGGGTGGATTTCTGTATGAAAAGATTGGTTTTGAATGGGCAGCAGCTATACAAGGTCTGTTACCTCTGACAAGTGTGAGTAATCAGTCTTTTATTTTAATTTTCCTTATATTTGTAGAGAAACTTACCATACAGAATTTACATTAACCGATACCTTTAATTTTGTTAAAGGGTTTAGCAATGGGCCTATATTATCTACTGGAACACTCAAGGGAAGGAAGGTATGATCAGCTCTTGGGTTTTTTTTTTTTTTTTCTCCTACTATGGAAGTAGAAAAAAAAAATGTTAATAGCATCCATTCCTCTAGTCAGCAGATTTCTGGGCACTCACTGTTATCATTTGGCAGACACCTTTGTGTAAATATTTGGGTGGAGATGTAGGTGTTGGGTATTTTTTAAGATGAGAGATACTAAGTTCTTCTCTTCTTTCATTCAATGTAGATCTATACCTCAAGGCGTTCTCACCACAGAGGAGGAGCGAACTGCTCTGTTGCCTAATGAAATCTGACCTTATGAAGCCTGGATCGGTACAGGGTTAGCAGATGGACCCTTTCGATGTTGAGCATCACAGTTGGGTTTTCTTAATCTTTTGCACAAACTCTGTGAATCCTAACTGGTATCATGGAAGTGGCAACACTGGGTATACTTTGGGCTGTACTAGCTGTTGTCTTGAAAAGCTGGTCTGCTGAACCAGCCATATTTGAAACATTAAATATGAGAAGAGCCATTGAAAACCAGCAAAAGTTTGTGTTGTTAAGTGGACACACTTGTCCTTGAAGATGTTGTTCTTGACTCTACTTAGGTCTCCAGCTTGCTTTGTTTACTTTTTATTCTAAGTGCCCTGACTCTCTGAATGTATCATTTTTAAAAAACAGGAAAAGAAGTGGTTTGATTTGATATAAAATGTAAAACCATAACTCAAAATACATAATTAATATCAAATCAATTTTTAAAAGATACATGTTTTCTGTTTCCTGAGTTTTATTTTCTTATTCAAAGGATAAAATTCCTATATGTTATGCAGAAACTCTGTAACATTCCCAGACCCTCAGCTCTTCTAAAAATTCTCTCTGTGTGAAAGGAACAAGAATAGCATTACTTATGGTACAACCACTGTGGAAAACAGTATGGTGCTTCCTTAAAAATTTAGAAATGGAAATACCATTTGATTCAACAATTCCACTGTTATGAATATTTCCTAAATGGGTGAGATCGGGACATCAGTGTACATCCATGTTCTTCGCAGCACTATTCACTGTAGCAAAGAGATGGAAACAACCTAAGTGCCTGTCAGTAGATGAATGGATAACCACACTATGGTACATATGCATAACAGAATACTATGCAACATTAAAGAATAATGAAGAATCCACAAATCACATCATAGTGTGGCTGAACTTGGAGGACATTACACTGAGTGAAATAAGTCAATCATAGAAGGAGAAATACTGTATGAGTCCGTTATTATAAAAAATAAAGGAAAGGTTTACTCAGGGAAGGAAATTTACTTTGTTGGTTACCAGGGATTGGAGGGAAAAGGAGAGAAATTCCTGACTAGTTAAGAGTCACGTGTTGATTTGGGTGAAGGGAAAGGAAATATAACAAAAATGTGTGACCAGCACAATTACAATAAGGAAAAGGAGGATACAGAGAGGTGCACAAAAGGTATAGACAACAGAGCCAAATGCTATTACATACACAATACTGCATTATCAGTAACAACAAGCACTAGTCTACAGTGTTTAGATTTACACATATTTAGATCTACCCATCTACAGGTGGATACATAGACAGGTAAGAAGAGCAGTATGGGTAGATGAACAGGAATATACCCATGACCATAGATAGATTTGGCTGATGATATTCCTACATGTGTATTTGTGCTACAAAAAATATCCATACATTATAGGACTAACGGGACAAGTTTGGGGTAGCTTCTTAGCCACGACAAGCAGCTTGAGGGAGTGAGTTGCCTGGCCTGCAGGCTCAGGATCATGGTCTCAGTGGGCATAAAGCTCAATTGCCACAACTCAGTACATAAAAGTATTGTTCTACATCCTGCTTTGGTGAATAGTGACTGGGGTCTTAATAGCTTGCAAGTGGCCATCTAAATGCAACTATTGGTCTCTCCTAGTACAAAGCAAAGAATTGTGAAGAAAATCAAAGAGGTATGGAAACAATTAGCCCAAGGGACTAATGGACCATGTAAACTTCAGGCTTCATGACCCTGAGACCAGAACTACGTGGTGCCCAGCTGCCAATGCCAACCACTTAGAAGAGGATCAAAATTGGAGATCTTGGATAGAGTGGGAAGAAAAATGTGGAACAAAATTTAAAAACACAATTGCTGGTCAGCTAGAGACTGATGAAACCTCCAAGCCAAGCCAAATACAGGCCTTTGGTTACCCTTTGGGCCTGAAATTAGACTCACTCCCATGGGTTTGCTCTCAGCCAAACAATAGAAAGGCCTATGGGTAGAACACCTACTCACAGGGAGATGCATCCCTTAAAACAGTCAGCATGAGAGATTAGAAGGGCAGCATTTCCATAGGATGCCTGAGACATTTGACTGCTAACCAGAAGGCTGGTGGTTCAAACCCAATAGCCACTCCTTGGAAGGAATATTGGGCAATCTACTTCTGTAGAGATACCACCTTGGAAACCCAAGGCGGGGTCACTATGAGTCAGGACCAACTCGACAGCAGTGGGTTTGGGGTTTTCTTTGTTGGAAAGTTAGATGCAAATGCATAGGTAAGAAGAATACAGGGAAGGAGTAGTCACAGGGAAGAGATGGAAGGAGAGATGTTTATTGTGGGCATTGTAATCAGTGTCATGAAACCAAATGTGAATGAACTGTTGAGCGTAAAATCTCTTTGTAAATTTGCACCCAAGTCACAATAAAAAAAGAAAAAAACTAATAGTATCACTGACAACTTCAATTTTTGTGACATAATTCAGTTATGATCTAGATTTATAAACTTCTTTTGGTATACTATTACTCATTTCCCTTAATGTCTCTGTTTCACTTATACTATCTTTCTTTTCTTTTCTTCTTGGTATATATATGTCCCAGTCTTAAAACTGATGAATGCTTATATATTATGGAATGTGTTTCTTCACTTTCATGTAAAAACTACATCATTTGAAGTGAATGAGTCTCTATTATAAAACTCTATACATCTTCATCCATTTCTATGCTGTGGTCTCACTCACTGCCATCAAGTCAATTCTGACTCGTATTGACCCCCGTTGGGTTTCCAAGGCTGTAAATCTTTGCAAAAGTAGACTACCACATCTTTCTTCTGTGGAGCAGCTGGTGGGTTTAAACCACCGACTTTTGGTTAGCAGCCAAATGGTACCAACCACTGCACTACCAGAGCTCCTAATATGGTGGGTACTCACTGCCTTCGAGTCAGTTTGACTCATAGCAACCCCTCCTTGGGTTTCTGAGGTGGCATCTCTACAGAAGCAGATTGCCCAACCTTCCTTCTGAGGAGTGGCCGGTGGGCTTGAACCATCAGCCTTCTGATTAGCAGTCAAATGCCTTAGGTACTGCACTACCAGAGGCCCTGATACGGTGGGTAGAAATGTTTATTTATTTACTTAAGAATAAATAGTTTATTCAAAATATTTGAATGCCTGGACTAGCACTGTGCTAGGTACTAGAGATTTCGTTATGATCAACATAAACAAAGTCTCTGCCTTGATGTAATTTATATTCCAGTGGAAGAAACAAATGCCCAAATCTCTCATTTTCTTACAGATGCACTATGAAGGGAAAAATATGGTGATGTTATAGAGAACTGGCTTGGGAAGACTAGGATTAGGGAACTAATTTATAAGGCATCTCTCTGGAGGTGGAACTTCTGAGCTGAGATTGGAAGGATGAGAATGAGGCAGTCATTTATTTATTCTGAAATGAGAACAGCCAGCCCACAGCATGTGCAAAAGATCTCGGCCTCATGAAAGATGAGAAGGATGGTGGCCCATGTGACTGGAATCTAGCAAACAGAAGAGGCTTGGGAGGTTGGGAGGTGAGGAGGAGCCAGTGTTCAAATGAGGGATACCAGAATTTGATACATGTTTCAGGAAGTAAACAGTGTCTATATATGCACAGTGGGTGGGAATGGTGACAATATGGAGAGACAATAATGTTTTGGTATAGGGAGATGGCAGTGAATATAGAGATTAAAGGCTATATTTGGAAGTGAAGGAGTCCCTAGGAATGCAAACTTTTAACATTCTCGGCTGCTAACCAAAAGCATGGAGGTTTCAGGTGCCTTGGAGGAAAGCCTTGGAAGTGTACTTCCAAAAAAGCAGCCATTGAAAACCCTATGGAGCACAGTGCTACTCACGCACATGAGATTGCTGTGAGTTGGATTTGACTAGATGGTAACTGTGTTTGTTTCTCCTGTTGTCATTTTGTTTTCCTAGTTTCTTGGCTTGAGGTGGTGGATAACCTTGCTGCTTAGTAAGATGAAGAAAAGCAAAACAAGTTGGAAAGGGGCAACTTAAAACCATGATTGAATGTCATTTCACATCACCAGAATGAAGAAGACATCAAAATGAATGGCAGTACTGAGGGCTGAGGAGGATAGAAAGCCACTGGAATGCTCTTACACTGCTGGTGAGAATGTGAATTGGAACACTGCTTTAGAATACTGGCATTAAGTGCCAGAGTTGAATATAATTTCCTTCTTTCCCCAAACCACTTCACCATCAGACCTCAGAAAGTGGTTATGGTAGTTAAGGTTGTGTCAACTTGGCTGGGACTAGTTTCGAGTGGCTGGGCAGCTGGATGTAGTGATTCCCTGTGATGAGACTGGTAATGAGCTCCATGGTGGAGTCTACTGGAGCAGCTGAGTAGCTGCCTTGGGGGTGTGCTCTGCTTCCAGTATGTAAGAGGAAGCATTGAAAAAGGTCTTTGGAGCTTTTCTGACACGCTTGGACCCTGCATTTGGCCAAGTCCTCATCTCAATGGCCTGCTGTGTTGAGACTGTGTGGACTTGAATTAGTAGCCTGCCATGTTCCTTGTTAATTTTGAGACTGTGCCATTTTACTTGTCGACCTTGGGTTTTTCAGCCTCAGCACCCAGTGGCTGCCTGAGTTAAGCCTCCAGCTTCAGTGGGACAAAAGCAAGAGGCAGAACTGAAGCCCAGGGTCAGAGGGCCTTCACTCGGCACCTAGAGCTGGCACTTTGAACTCAGACTTCTAGCCTCCTAAACTGTTAAGAGAATAAATCCCTGTTTCTTAAAGCCATACATTTGTAGGATTTTCTGTTAGAGTGGCACTAGAGAACCGAACCAGTGGTCCAGTGCAGAACGTGTCACTCCAGCCCGCTGCATCAGTGTGGGATGCAGAGCAGGCTGGGGCCTTGATCCCCCTTGTGAAATAGCTTGCCTCCTAGTCCCTCTTCAGCACTTTTCTTCCCTCAGTGGCCACTCCCGTGGACTGGCTACAGTTCCCACAGCTGCTGCTAGGGGCCACCATCAAAGTACACTGCCTGGT